GTAAAGCTTATGCATAGTGATGATCACATAAATGGCTCACATTTACAATCCTGCTCATTAGCAAAATTTTTATACAAATTATTCACATAGCCCCTACCTAGTAACATACAACACACTGGTGAAATCCTTACCATTTAACATGGACAACGTATGATATTGTTGGTTATATGCAAGTATGACCTCTGACATACCTTTGCCAACTCATGTTTGCCATCCAAGCTGACGAATTATACATTTTTTACTGCCAATATGCAAATTATAAGAGTCCATTTGCATATATTATATCATTTGATCATATTCTCCGCCCAATGACAGGGTTATCTTAAGAAATAAGGCTATTCTAGCGTTTCCTCATAAATTATGCAAATGAGGTCCTGATTTGAATAAATTATGTTTAGTGATGTTCGCCTTAATTGAACTTCCAAGTATGGCAAGTATTTAATTCACAGCAGTTACCACCATAAAATTGTACCAATTTGCCATTAATTATGCAAATTAGGTCTTCATTTACATAATCAATATCTACCAATGATCTTGTTGTTCTCAATTACATATGTCTAAAGTGTTTCATAGCCGTAATATGGAATACAGCAGATTTATAGAATTTCCTCATTAATTATGAAAATTAGATCCTGATTTGCATAATTGTATTTCAATCATGTCAAGCATCATTTCAGCTACCTACATTACCAAAAATCATGACGATCCATCAAACAGTTGTTCAGTTATCCTCTCTCAAATATATTTAAAGAAACCATCCTGCAGTTCCAGAACAAGCCGCTAGGGGGCCCAAACTCATGTGACTTCTTCCCAAGCACGAGAGCTACCTATCATCCAAATTTCATGACCCTAGCATGTCTAGATCGCGAGATATCAAAACCGGAAGTTGCGCTGCAGTACCAAGGGAAGCCACTAGGGGGACCAAAATCTAATCATTTCCAGTTTTCGTCACACCCTACCAACACACCAAGTATGAAACCAATCCATCCAGGCGTTCTTGAGTTATCTTGTTGACCAACAGACAGACAGACAGACGGACAGACGGACAGATAAACGCAACTGAAAATATAACCTCCATGACACATTTCATGGAGGTAATTAAATAATAATACCATATCAGGAGAGAGTGTGTTTCCGCTGTTTAGCACGGTCCGTTTGGGGGCTCCGTCAGGGGTTTCCGACACAGTCATCCCCACTACAGACCCCGGTTCCGCCTCCACAATAACCCCCGCATCCTCCCCGGGCACCGGGTGGGCGGAGATCTGGACATGGACCTGGTAAAAGAGAGAGGTAAAATAATAACAACGTTTCAACATCGCTATTTTCATGTGAAGTCCCTGTCACACATCCAGGACTTTCCCCCGACCCCCAGCCGATCAAGGTCGCATGATGTTCGGGAGCAGTCTGACCAGATTTAGGCCACGCTAACATTTCAACACGAATTGAATCGAATTTAAGTCAAATGTGACTGCTAACCTCTCCCCGACCTACTCCCGAACAAAAGCCAACCACCAGCCATGTTTTGAAACATTCGGCTGGTGCAGCTGAACATGTACAGTAGCTGTCAAGGCCGAACACCAGCCGAACTTGCTCCAGACCTACATCTAAGGCCATGTTGATTTGATTATATGGATGACATCCGCGCGCGCATGAATTTTCGGCAAAAAAAAACAGTACAAAACAGTTGCAAAATGAGCCAATATGTACCGTAAGTTGCAAAAAAAAATTTAAAATTGATACCAATGTCGTAGAATGGCAAAATCAAACGAAAAAGACAAAAGTGTAAAGAAATGAATTTGAAGAGTAGATTATTCGCCATACCATACCTCTGTGTCATTTCTTCAACCTTCATGATCACGTAGATTTCATAATTAAAGGAACTTTTTTTTGCAAACTTTTTTTATTCGCACTCTCGCATCAGTTTTGGGTTTCCCAGAGGATGTCATCCATATAATCAAATCAACATGGCCTATGTGTGATAGGGGCTTTTCGCTTATACCTGATTTTTATCTGTATACATTTTACGGTCTTGTACTGTTGTGTATGCATGATGCAGGATAGAAATTCCTTTTTAAAAGAAGTTACGCTGGTAGGTTTTATACTCCCCTACGTTCCGCCATTGGTTACCCCCATCCCGCTCAGATACAAAATGTATTCATGGCAGATGCCTGAAGGGGGCAAATCAACTCGACATTCCCTTGACGAAAACAAAGCGGTACAAAACGAGCCCAATCCCCTATTTCACTGATTTGTTAAATAAACAAACAGGTTGAAATCTTCCAGTACCGGACAATTATAGTTTTTTAATCTATTTGTAGATACCTTTGATCTATATTTATAACTGTGTACAGCTAGTATTTGTTTATGTTTGTACCTAGCTTGTCAATGTCCTTTGTTTGTTTAGCTAACCTTATTGTTTAATCTGTTTTTAATCCTGAGTACGTAATTCAGCGCTTGTATACGCTACTATGTACCATGGAGTTTTATCAATAAAACTACTATTATTATTATATTATACTCATCGCTTCCAGACTTCCAGTTACTATAGCTGTGACCCTGACTTGGTGTCGCCACCTCTTCTATGTTTACATGTTTTGATGTCAGAGGTCGTTGTTTACACCATGGAACACTTGTGTACACTTGAAACCGTAAGTGCCCGCTTGCCAGATTTAACCGTTGTGGATACAAAAATAGAAACAAAATAGATAAGGCCATGTTTATTTGATTATATCGATGACATCCTCTGGGAACCCCAAAACTGATGCAAGCATGCGAATGAAAAAAAAAAAGTTTGGGCCAAAAAAAGTTGTTTTCATTATGAAATCTACGTGGTCATGACGGTTGAACAAATGACACAGAGTATGGTATGGCGAATAATCTAGTCTTCAAATTCATTTCTTTACATTCTCGTCTTTTTCGTTTGATTTTGGCATTCTACGACATTCGTATCGTTTTCCAATGTTTTTTTCCAACCTACAGTATATATTTGCTCATTTTGCAACTTTTTTGTACGATTTACAGTATGGTTGAAACCTTTTTTTGAAACGGCCGATAATTCATGCGCGCGAGGATGCCATCCATATAATCAAATTAGCATGGCCTAATGATCTGCGCTAGCGCAGTGAGTCTTTTTCTCTGAAACTAATTCAAGACGTCTGTTTCTTTAGAAACGTTTTATAACATCATAATATAGGAAAAGGTTTAAGTATTTTTGTTGTGTTCAAAATAAGAAAGACTTTCAGTCATGTTCCGGTTGCCCGGTTTGCCAAAGAATGTGCATGTGGTTGGGGGTAACTTGTGACATATTCACTATAGTTTCTGCCGGACAAAATCTTTTAATTATAGATAAAACGGATATTTTGGAGGTTAAAGTACCCGACCAATGTGTGTTTTGCACGGTCTAAATCTCAGCGGTAGATGACAGAAAATAATTTTTTTCTGACATTATTCCCTATATTAAGACGGCAAGCCTCATCACCATCCTTTGCTCCCAAAATATTAGTATTAAATAGATTGTTTTAATGTCAAACTTTGTTATTTCTAGGTAAGTAGTGTACAATCATGTGTTTTTGTCGAATAACTTATTAATTTCAATGTGTTCTGCCATTAATGTTACGAAAGTAAATTGTACAACAACACATAATTTAGCCAATGGCTACAAGTTCTTGTTTTCTTTTACAAATGAACCATTTGATTGATTGATTGATTGATTGATTGATTGATTGATTGATACCTTGTTGTGGAACATCTCCTCAGTATACAGCATCAAAGCGTCTGACACGATCTCGCCGTCATGGAGCACGTGATACACAACCAACCAGCTGGCAGGAACCATGGCCTGGGTCACGTTCAGCGTCAGCAGATGCGCATGCGTGTTGTTCCCCCGTTGTTCCAGGTATCTAAGAGGTACTGTGGTCGACTGGACTGTTTGACCTCGTGATATTATCTGAAACATACAAAACAGTAAGAACCTTTAATTTTTTTATATTCCAAAATATAATCACAAGACGTGGTGACGGCACACCCAAGTTTTTTTCGACTTATATTAATGCCGCCACCAACACAGGGGACAATACAATACTCATTTTTCACTTCAGCGAAGTGAGGAAAGTCGTGTGAAGTGCCTTTCCCAAGGGCACACGATCGGTGGCATGTCAGGACTCGAACTCGGGACCTTCTGGTTCCAAGTCGAGCACTCTGCCGCTACGCCACACGACCCCACTAATTAACGATAACAATCCATTTCTACAGTAGCCCTACACAAGAACGTCTTAAAACTTCCGTTGACAATTGAAGTAACTATTTTGAACGTATGGATCCTACAACATGAAACCTACAAGCTAATTGACAGTACTTGTGCGTAATACCATATATAGGTATTTTTTTCGTAACGTCTATTTTGTTAAAAAAAAACATATTATGGTCAAACCAACCCATCTCAAATTATATTTTCAACATCACAAAGAAACGAGAAGAAGCCGAACCTCCGTATTAGAGTAGTTTTAGAGCTGTTTGTACTACAAACATGTATATATTACCTTTTCATCTGTTCACCTGTACTTAGTCCGATAGGGCATGGATGTACAACAACACATCCTAACACTTTGTTTCACTTGACACTGTAAGAATTTTGGACACTGAACAAGACTTTTTCCTGAGAGGGGTGAAGGAGGCTATTTACATCAGGGCCCACCAACCTTCACTCAACCGCGACGGGGGCCGACATCGTCTACCAGATACCTTTGACCAAGTGTTGACGTCACACTTCAAAGAAGCCACGTGACAAGCCTCACTGGGTCAGTCTACTGAGGAAGACCAGAGTGACTGGTCGAAAGCTCTAGGTGAGAGAACTTTTGTGTTGGACCAAAAGTCTAAACTTTAAACATACAATAAAGGTTATTATACAATGTGCTGCAGACTTACCTCCATGAAGAGATTCCCCAGCCTGTGTGAACTCAGGACCTCTATCCCGGCCTCCCTGTCCACGCCCAGCTTGTCGTCGGGAGGCACGATCCTGATGGCGCGTGCGCTGGGGGAGTTCCAGTGCCACATCTTCATGTAGACCGTCCTCTCGTCCTCCGCGAAGGCGAAGCCGTACTTGGACGGACGGGCGGAGTTAGGGGCGGTGGCCTGGAGGGTAAGGAGGTATAGTCTTCAGAAGTTGGTAGTCTTGAGAACTTGGGGTATATATAGTCTTGAGAACTTGGGGTATAGTCTTTAGAAGTTGATAGTCTTGAGAACCTGGGGTATTGTCTTGAGAACCTGGGGTATTGTCTTGAGAACTTCGGGTATATTCTTGAGAACTTGGGGTATAGTCTGGAGAAGTTGGGATATATACGCCAAAAGCAGTTACTGAAGGAACTGGATATAATTTCGGAAACGGTCAGACGTTTCTGGTAGCATACACAAGCTTTCGTCAGTGACACTGAGAGACCACAGGAGAATGAAAGGTTTATAAGCACAGACTTTTGATTGATATGCAAAGAAGTGAAGACAATTTTTTGAAAGTCCAAAAAGAAACAAAAGTTAGACAACCCAATGCTGTATTTGCTCCTGAACAAATGTTGGCCTCTCTAGTTCTTCTTACCTCTATATGCAGTTCTTCTACTCCCAATGGGACGTCGAATGCGTAGGAGATGACGCCATGTGACGACTTCCGGGTGATGGAGGCAATGCGGTCGCCGTCAGCGAAAGCGGAAATGACGACACGAGTCAGCTCTGCCGGACTTCCGTCAGGCGTTACCACGGCGATCTGTGACGTAAGCAAAGTCTTTTCAGGACGTTTCTGAGTGTATCATGGTCAGGAGTGCCAGAGTATACAGACTGCAATTTTACGGAATGCAATGCGATTTTACAGGTATACATTGCAATTTTACGGAATACAATAACAATGGTATTAGTATACAGTGCAATTTTACGGAATACAGTGCAATCGTATTAGTATACAGTGCAATTTTACTTGTATACAGTGCAATTTTACTAGTAAAATCGCAATGTATACTAATACGATTGCGCTGTGTTCCGTAAAATTGCACTGTATACTCTGGCACCCCTGACGGTGCAATTTAACGGCAATCAATGCGATTTGATAGCAGAAAAACTGGATATTATGTGAATAAGGCAGTTTTTATGATATTGACACATTCTGCTTCACATTGGCACGTTTCAATCAGTATTTAATACTTTGGGTATTTAAAACTGCAGAAACAAATCCCAATATGAGTCTTTATTTTATGGGTGGTACCCTAAACATCAAACAAGGGCCCTTCCAGTAACGATTTACCGTCAGAATTATGGGTGTTTTTGCTCCATGAGGGTCAATATACATTGGGATAGTGTGGTTTCAACTCAGTATGTAGAAAAGTGTTAGATCAAAATATTGACTTTGAACATTTGGGTTTACAAGCTATAAAAACTGCACTGGATGCCTTTAAAATAGATGGTGTACAATCATACTTAATAATCACAATGTAATTAAAAAAGAGCTATAGTATAAAGTAAGAGATCTCTGTTAAAACGTGTTGTACAGAATATATTTAATTTTGACTGTCCATGACCATGAAGATAACTATGCTTATTCTTATATGTTTAGTTATTAAATTACACATTCAGGGCGGTCTGTCACTACGGCATTCTTTCCCATTGCTAGGCGCGTTCGAAAAAAGTATCGGGTTACAAGACGCTAGTTTGGCCTGTTTTTGACCTCCTTTAAAACATTTAAAAATGACCTAATAGTATTTGAGGGTAAATTTCGTCAAATTAAAATGAAATTGTCGTCCTTACGTTCTTTTAATGTCAGCTGTTAATGTTAAATCGCTGATTTTTTTTAAAATTTCGCTCCAAAAGGCGATTTTTTTCGGGTTTCCGAGCACAAGTCATGTCATGTTTTTAGGCAAACATCGTTCAAACCTGGCTACGTATATTATCCAGAAAAAATCAGGAATATTCCTGATTTTTATATTTTTCACCCACCTGTCCATACACGGGTAACCCAGGCTTGAAGTACTTGTTACTGCTGGGAAGAAACGCCAGCTTCAGCGGGACACGTGACATTGGGATGATGACGTAACTGCTGTTCTCGCTGCGCGACGTCACGTCCTCCGTGACCCTGGCGCCTAGCAACAAGGTCGCCTTCCGCGGCAGCCATTTTAGTCCCACGGCGGATAGGGGAATGTCAAAGTCCTGCTTTCCTTCGATCTACAGTGCAGTCAAAGCGGACAGAAAAACAGAAATAAGAAACAAAGGGCACTGCGTCGTATTATTGTTCTTGCTCAGTTTATTCTTCTTCTCCTCTTCTCCAAACAGTGACCTCTGACCTGACCAATGACATGATTCGTTGACGTCTGTCCCCATGCGGTAACCATGTAACTGGTGTTGGGTTACATGATGTTGCAATTTCATGGTCTGCTCTGTTTCTGTCACCATATAACGTTACTAGTAGTACACGTACCTGTATGTGAATGTGTTAGAGTAAGAATTAACAGAACAGACCATGTCCGAAGGTAAACATTATGCATTTGCTTTCAATTGCAAGATCTCTAGTAAATATATAAAACATATAAAAATCAATAAAAAAACTAATTGATATCAGAAATTAACTAGGTGAAGGTTCTGAACAATAACAGCGATTGCTCAAATGGGTGTACTGACCTGACTTGTAAAACTGTGCTCTCCGATGCCAAATATGGTCATGTACAGGTCCACTCGACCTTTCACAGGGCGGCCATCACGGTATCTGCATATGTTGAATAGATAATTGAAGTTGTTTATTGCAAGTTCATGCCCGAGGGCTATTTACAAAATGACAATGTGGATAGAATGTATTGAGGAATGGTATAAAGCCATATGAACATGAATTTCTACGTTTTACTCATCTAACATAACTGATTTGATTACATGGATGACATCCTCTGGGAACCCCAAACTGATGCGAGCGTTCGAATAAAAAAAAGTTTGGCAAAAAAAGTTCCTTTCATTATGAAATCATGAAGGTTAAACAAATGACACAGAATATGGTATGATGAATAATCTACTCTTCAAATTCATTTTCGTCTTTTTTTGTTTAATTTTGGTATTCAACGACATTGGTATCGTTTTCCGACATTATTTTTGCAACTTACTGTATATATTTGCTCACAGTTTGCAACTGTTTTGTACGATTTACAGTGTGGTTGAAAACGTATTTTTTTTGGAAACGGCAGAAATTCATGCGAGCGCGGATGTCATCTATATAATAAAATCAACATGGCCTAATAATAGTGATCAGTAATAATGATGATTCAAAGCTGATGATTCAAAGCTTTCCACTGCGAACCACAAAAACTTACTAATCATAAAATGATATTTTCTTAAGCAATCGTCATCTTGGGTTTAGGTATCACTTAATGAACTGTTTGACCATTTAGTTTCCGTCTTTACGTTTTTACGGAGAATATGGGAAAAAATTAATAATAATAATAATAATAATGATAATGATAATGATAATGATAATGATAATGATAATGATAATAATGATAATAATAATTATAATAATAATAATAATAATAATAATAATAATAATAATAATAATAATAATAATAATAATAATAATAATAATAATAATAATTAAGTGGCGCTGAATGGTATGCTAGTGTAAACAACAGAGAAACAAATATTGCACAGTTACAAAATAAGTGAGTACTATATACTAAATGAGCTTATTATAATAACAATATCGCATCAGTAAGTAGGAAGTAGGTCAGTACTAAGTTTAATAATATCGCTAAATACTAATAGGTCAGTACTATATACCTTTAACAATATCAACTAATAATTTGCAATATCAGCTCAAAATGATATCAGTAGACTCACTCTGCCGAGACGGCTCCCTTGACAGAAGAGTCGGACGTTGTGAGGTAGGAACCAGTCTTCATGCTGATTTTCACGTGAAACTTTGGTCTCTCTGGGAGAAACAAAACCTGTAAGCACAACTCTAGGAAACGCTTGACTGACACATTATCTACTAGATAGAGCTCCACGATCTCAAACCATCGCTAAATGATGTTAACCTTTACAACTGATGACTTGTAGATCAGGGGTGTCAGAGTATACACTACAATTTTACGGAATACAGTGCAAACGTATTAGTATACATTGCGATTTTACTTGTAAAATTGCACTGTATACAAGTAAAATTGCACTGTATACTAATTTTACAAGTAAAATAGCACTGTATACTAGTAAAATTGCACTGTATACTAATACGATTGCACTGTATTCCGTAAAATTTCACCGTATACTTATACGAGTGTACTGTACTCCGTCAAATTGCACAGTATACTAGTAAAATTGCACTGTATTCCGGATTCCGTAAACTTGCACTGTCCAGTGCTCCTTTCCTTACGTCTCCTCCAAGCCACTTGCGAGGTCCATGACCAACACGAGTCAAAAGTTTAAATCTAGATGTTTTAGTTTAAACTACATAATCTAAAACCATGAAGACGTTATGGTGATGAAATATATAGTTACATGACTAAGAAAGTGTGTATACGTTTACGATACAGGCCTATAGGACTAGCTGTGCAGATTTAAAGACTTACCAAGTGTCAGAACATAAAAGGTCGCTTCTTGAATCTGTTCATCCTGTTGACAGAGAATCAAATATGTAACATCTAACATTAACATGGAACCAGCAGAATTTTGAACAAGACTTGATAAGTTTATTGCAAGTTCCTGCCCGACGGTTAATTGCAAATGACAAGGAACATTGAAACAGAGTACAAAATAACATCAAAATCTACATAATAAAAGGTAATTGTCTAAAACTATAGCTATGTCTAAAACTATGTCGAAAGGGTTTGATAATAATATCAAGTTTGTTACAAATACATCCTCGGACGCTGAGTGCAAGGCACTTTACACGACTTTCCTTACTTCGCTAAGGTAAAAATGAGCATTTTATTTATTTATCTATTACGATTGACCACATACATAATATACATGGAGGGCATGGTGGAACAGGTGCACCTAAGTCCCCTTTGTTGGTGGCGGCATCAATGTAAGTTGAAAAAAACTTGAGTGTGCCGTCACCACGTCTGGTGATTACATGTTGGAATATATAAAAAAAGTACATGCTACACATAGAATACTTACGTCCACAAACACAGTAACCGTCCACTCTCCCTCCAGAACGGCTTTGGCGAGCTTCAGAGACTTCGTGATCAGACCTTTGGCGGAAAGTAGAAATAAATATGTCGATCTTACTTGTGTACATGTACACCTTTACACAAATCTCACATTAGTACCTGTCAGTTATAACCAGTAGGAAGGTTTAGGTCTAATTAGTCGAATAGATGCTTCTACCTTTAAAAGGAAGCTCCACTCAACCATCTTGAACAAAATCAAACAACATTTCTATGAAGATCAACTAGATCAAGAAATCTCATAATCTAAACTTTGACCTTTTTCAGGGACTGTAGCCATGCTTTGGGAACATCAGATTCGAAGTAGAATGATTTGTAATGTCTTGAATTACCCAAATCTTTTTTAATCATCTTACTTATCATTAACTGTGTTTAAATACAGGATAAGAAAAACGGAGTTACCCTAAATGTTTGCCATTGAAAGACAAAAACATATATTAAGTAAAACAGGAATAATATTTTGGTTATATCATAACAGTTTCTAAATGCAAACGGATGAAAAAATGTACCCCCCAAAAAGTGTAAGTCTCTGATGTCGGGAATATTTCATAATTCATAATATCAGACAGAAAAAGTTAAATCTTAGAAAAATTAACAACATAAAATTAATATTTTAACATCCAACAGATTGTATTTAACTCTCCCTCGAGTTTAAGTTTTTTAAGAATCCATTGCTGAGGTATATGGCAGTTTTACGAAAAGACCTTAAAAATCGGTGTATAGACACAGTACACTGTAAGGTGTATCTGTCTACTATAGTATGAGCAAAGTAGAAAGACGTTCTGATACCATCAGGAGACCGAAGGCTGTTCCAGGACATTGCCTCAAACCCATGGATATCCTACGTGAGGAAAAACAAGATTTCAAGGCAATAGATCTTAAGATGTAGTAGTATATATACAGAAGACGGGAAAATGAAGTAAAATTAGCTTAGAATTGCTAAGGATAAATTTTTCAAACTTCAATCAAAATTGTTTAGACTAGTCTAGTCTGGCCTGACTGAACCTCGCTTTAAGTAAGAGTACTCACCGAAACAACGATGTTTACCTACATGACGGAATAGAAAAAACATTGTCAGTGAATCATCAAGAAAGATCTATAAAATGTGGAACTAAAAAAGGTGTAAGTCAAGTAAGTCAAAAAAGCTGGCATAAAACTGAACTTGACTTTCTCACCCTCTCCAGCTCTACCGGCTTTAGGTTCCTGTCCACAAAAATCGCTCTGATGTAAACTGTGGATATGACAGAAAGATGGTGCAGTGAAGATAAAAACGTAGCGATAATGATAATAATAAAGCAATAAAAAACAAATTTGACCTAATCTTCAATCAGATCTTTCTGTGTCAAAGACGCGTAACAAATTAACAAGAGACACTATAAAACTAGAAAGGTAACATTTGCAAAGCAAATGCATAATGTTTACCTTCGCATATGGTCTGCTCTGTTAATTCTTACTCAAACACATTCACATATATGGTGACAGGAGTCTAAATCCCTCTTGCTATAAAATTGCAACATGATGTAACCCAACACCGGTTATCATGGTGACAGACGGTTTGGGTCAGGTCATTGCCCAGGTCAGTGTTTGGAGCGAAGAAGAAGAAACAAGGCAAAAACAATATGTTTTCCTTCCGTAAACGTAATCAATAGACAGTATCCAATTGGCAACCGAATTGGATATCGATATGATAGTGTCTTGCCGGTTGGTTACGACTTTGCCACAGAAAGGTCTACTCGTGTGGCACAGTGCTAACTCGGAGCCAATAGGTCCCGGGTTCGAGCTCTGACATGGCACCGATCTTTTGCCCTTTGGAAAGGCACTTTACACTACTTTTCTCACTTAACTCAGGTGAAAATGAGTATTTTACTGTTCTGTATTTGTCATCTGTGTTGGCGGCGACATAAAATAAGTTGACATAACTTAAGTGTGCCTTCGCCATGTTTTTTTTATTCCAACATGTAATCACCAGACGTGGTGACGACACACTCAAGTTTCTTCGACTTATATTAATGCCGCCACCAACACAGGGGACAAATGCATTACAGGACAATACTCATTTACACCTGAGCTAAGTGACGAAAGCCGTGTAAAGTGCCTTTACCAAGGGCACAAGATCGGTGGCATGTCAGGACTCGAACCCGGGACTCTTAGTTGCGAGTCGCGCACTCTGCCGCTACGCCACACGACCCCACTATGTTTGGTCATGAAATATTGGAATAAAAAAGAAAAAGATCTCGGAAATCAGCACAGACCTTCCTGTCCCGGCTGGTACACCTGCTTGTTCAGCTCCAGGAAGGCCGAGAAGCTCTTGTCGAGCACGTCGACTATCTGCGTCTCCCCGAACAGCTGAACCTTCCCTGTTCTCCCGGTCACCCGCAGCTTGTAGTCCCAGCGTCTGTGGCGATGCAGCTCCGCAGGACCGACCTTAGGCCACAGCAAGTAAATTTTATGGATGACATCCTACACAGACTCCAAATCTAATGCGAGCGGGCGAAAAAAGGACAAAACAAGACGGGCCACAAAAAACAAGGTTCCTACAATTTAAAATTTGTTCTCAATCATTGTACAAATAGTTTTGATTCAGTGGGAACATCACAAATACACAGCCAGCATCACATATCACTGCATCAAAGTAAGAAACAAAACATTAAATCAGAGTTTTTCTTGTCTCCTCTCTTCATAGTTATCTGCCCTCCACCTTCCGGCATGGCAACAGATATCTTTGCCCATTTTCGGCATGTTGACCACTGTCAGAAGGCAACAAAATTTCTTGTTTTTTTTTCCAAAATCAGGCGAAAATAATGCACGCGTCATCCATAAAAATTACTTGCTGTGGCCTAAGGGGCATGTAAGGGCGATGGGAAACCAATTTGCTTACTCCATGAAAAATGGAGGTATTGTTTTGGTGTGTCTGTCTGTGTTTCCGCACATTTATATTCAGCATAGCTTCAGAACGCCTTTATGGATTGTGATAATATTTGGTAAGTTGATAGGTCGAGGTGAGGTGAGGTGATAGGTCGTAGGAAGACATACGTCATGGTCAAATATGGGCCTCCTGGAGGATGACCTTGGTACTACACCAGCACTTCCGGTTTTTGTATCTTATGTCCTGAGCATGCTATGGTCTTGGAGTACTGAACAAGACTATTTCTTGAGAGGGGGGAAGGAGGCAATATACATCAGGGCCCATCACCCTTCACTTAACCGCGACGGGGGCCGACATCGTCTACAAGATACCTTTGATACCAGTGTTGACGTCACACTTCAAAGAAGCCACGTGACAAGCCTCACTGGATTAGTCTACTGAGGAAGACCACAGTGACTGGTCGAAAGCTCTAGGTGAGAGGACTTTTTGTGTTGGACCAAAAACTCTAAACAGCTTTGCTGCTGTTATTTTTCTCTGTTGTTGACATTTAAAAGGGCCTGTTTCCCGGAATGACGGGATGTTTACAGCTGTTCTGGTAGGCTGGTTGATTACTAACAACCGCGTCCTTGACCTGGTACTAGCGGAAACGAATTGTTTTGAATTGAACGAAAACAAGACAGAGGAGGTCAGGATAGTGTTGCGAACGATACGGTGGAGGGCATAGTCTAGTACTAGTAATTGGCTTTCCTGTGTTACTATATGGGAATTGTGTCAGAATAACGTGGTCAAAAGTCTTATACCTGAGTTTTAGACCTTGAAAAACACACATTGGCAGGGTAGTCCAACCTCTTTTAAGACTTAAAAGTCTCTATTTACGAAAAATATGAAAAGTCTTATACAGCGGAACCATGCGAGAATTCTACCCGAACATTGACCCCTGACCCCTCTGGACAGCTGATGACCGCATGGAAACCTACATCTTCTTTAGCGAGCCAGACAACACAAACATGGCTGCAGGTCTGTTTTCTCAACAAAATAAAAATACTACAACCCTTACCTATAATACAGACTAATTTGGTTTCAGACTGCCATAGACTAAAACGGAGCCCTCTGCGCCTGCGCCTAGTACTGACCTTTGCCCTCCTGGATAAGGGAGCAACATATGATAACTTATAATATGATTATGCACATTTTGTGTTGTAGACAAATGATTGAGTACTTACGGGCAACAGCATCGTTGTCGTGTTTCCTGGAAATTAAAGAGAAACAACATTAATTAGAATTCTACGACCTCATACATTTGGCAAATGATGATAATTTTTACGATTGACAAATTATAAATGTTTCTCATTGACCATGAGAATAAGACCTTCAGTTGCATAGATTATATCAGTTGATCATATTCTCCACCCAGTGACAGTCATCTTAACAATGAGCTCAAGGGTCATATTTTAGCATTTCAAATCAAAATATGCGAGTACGGTTCAAAGATAGATATGTTATGTTTGATGATATTCACCTTCACTTAACTTTCAAATGCCACGAGTATGGAATACGCGTCAGTTACCACCATGGAATTACAGCATTTTCTCATTAATTATGCACATTAGGTTGTCATTTACATTACTGTAGAAATCTAGTTATCGTATTGAGTGCTCTAAAATTTAGTCTAGTATTATTTGTATTAAAAAAAATCATCCATCTGTTCTGCAGTTGACGAACAGATAGACATAAACTCTGCCTAAAACATAACCTCTATTTGTTTTATGGAGAAAATTGTTTGTCAATTTCGCTGTTGGGATGTGATAATTGAAAGTTTATTTATTGCAAATTCGTGCCCGGAGGCTAATTGCAAATTACAAAACATAAAAGAACATCGATCATCATCATCATTGGCAGTCCAGTCTCGGAAGACTATGTAAGAGGTGCTAGTGTCACGGAAATGAAAAGAAACCTACAGTGGACCTCACTGGAAGACAGAAGAAAGATGTCTAGACTATGCATGATGTACAAAATGACTAATAAACTGGTGGATGTCCCAACTACTAAGTACCTAATACCAGCCCAGAAGAGAACAAGAAATAGCCACGCATTCAAGTACCAGAGTTATCAACCAAGGATTGAGGTGTTCAAGAATTCATTCTTTCCTAGAACTATCGCAGAGTGGAACTCACTGTCACCAAGTACAGTAGGGGCATTGTCAATAGATAGCTTTAAACAATGTCTAGAGCTAGAAGTTCAAGGGTTAGGTGTAACAAGTCGATCGGTGTAATATAGCCAGCTGCCGCCGCGCCGCGTGCCTGCGAAGCTGGTGTGTTACGCCGAAAGGCGGTTATACCGGCTGTACAGATACAGATACAGATTGTCGCCACCCTGGGAGTGCATCGTCTACTGTGGCTGTAGAGTCCGATTCGTGATATCGATACAGAGTACAAAATAACTTAAGTCTACATGTAGGTAGCTATCTGGAACTATAACTATTTATAAAATATGTCTGAAGGGTTTGACTTCTCTTCTGTAAACCATGGAGGACGTAATGTCCCACCTTTTCCAAAATTTGTGGGTTTTGTTAAGGCCACACTGATTTAATTTTATGGATGACATCCGCGCGCGCATTGATTTTCGCTTGTTCTCAAAAAAAAAAAAATCATGTCTTTTGAGGCTTCACGGAACTCCGGAACTCGGCAGGAACTCGGTACAGACTGCCGACTCATGAATGCCGCAAAAGGGCGGCTTATCGTAAAACTTCTTTTGTACTACCGCAAAACGTAAATTTTGTCGTAAATGAACCCTTTGCACATGCGTACTAGCTACACTAACAATGTAGAGCGCGAAGTTTGAAGAGATGGCGGGGCAGCATCGTCCTCAAAGTACGTCAAACTGGAGGCGTTGTTGTCGACTGGTATGCCATCGACATTGGCGAGGGGGATGTAACGTTTGCCCAGCTTTACGAGCGACTCGTGGCAGCCAGCGAGTATCGCCCGGACAGACGTCCTTTCCAGAGCGGCCACCACACGTTTGAGAGAAAATGGGAGCTGTGTTGAAGTGGGTCAGGCCACTTCTCAGTGCAGTTCGGCTGTTTTGTCCGTATTGTTGTTGACAAAACTGCAACAACTAAAGCCAAAGATTGTCAGCAGAAGTCAGCTTTTGAGGTAAGAATAGTTCAGTTATTTTTTGTTTGTTTTGTTTTTCTGATTTCGATCCAGTATCCGTTGCAAAATTTATGGGGAGGGGCGCGTACACGTGTTATGATACAGACAAAATAAAGTTGTCAAATTATGATTTACAGTAGTTTTATGTAGATTATGATGTTGTAGTCATATGGCAAATTTCCAACAAGATGCATTTCTTCTGTTGGGTGTATTTTTTAATAGTGAGCTCTTGCAAAAATTATTTCACAAAATTTCCTATTCGAAGAATGATTTTTATTTCTCTGTTTCAAATCCGTTTTGTGCAGGGCTCTTTCATGTAGTGCACCAGTGGAGGTGTACTCTGCGCGAGTCAAGTCTAGGGCAATGGCCATTCTGCCACTAGCTGGTATGCTGGCAGTGTGGGGAAACAGACACGCTTCCCATCCCTCCAGAGAAACTGCAGTGTTTCAGAGCATTCATCCAGTGTGCCAGGTGGGTTAAATATTATTGTGTACCTCATGTTTTAATTGTACATTCATTCTCACCCGCATTAGTAATGTTGTAATTTTTACAATACACTTACAATTTTATTTGGAAACATACATTCCAATAGTAAATCGATTTTGCATACCATGTCATTTTTCTGTAGGTGTGAAAAGCCACTCGTGTTGAAGAGCGTACAAGAGTGAAGAGAAAGCTGGAGAGGAAGGGATCTAGAGAGGAAGAAGATGGACCACTAACTTTCAGGTGGGTACTGTTTCTGCTCTACCTTTTACATTTTGCCGAAAATATTGATCTCAAACTTTCATCTGAAATAAAATCCACATCTATTCAATCCCCTTGTTGTATGCACTTCTACAGGGTATAAAGTATAAACTATATACTGTATATATAATTCATGTATATATCTACCTACAATGTAGGTCAAGCAATACCTTTTACATTTTTCTGTAGGGAGAGAAAACTGCGAAGGAGGAAGCTGCGAAGGAGGAAGCTGTGAAGGAGGATGAGACCTGAAGAAGACTAACTACATCTACCTCCTGCAAATAAAAACTTGTTTGATGCAGTCACTGTGTCCTGTGGTTCAATCCGCAATATCGGCTTTGTATTCCTGTGGTTAAGCAGCATCTTTTTTTTTTTTTTCTGAATTTTTTTTTCGCCCTCTCGCATTAGTTTTGTGGTCCCCAGAGGATGTCATCCATAAAATTAAATCAGTGTGGCCTAAGCTAAAAGAAGAATAGTTTTTTCGTTGTCTGTAAGTTTAGAGGAATTGGGATGAATTGTAGAAGTTTGAATGGTGAACTCATTTTGAGCGTTGGTATGGAATGAACAGTTTGATATAAAATGTATTTCGTCTTCCAAAGCCTTTGCACTACAATATTGTCTGCCCCTATGCTTGTCGGTTGAATTTCCGCGTGTTCTGATGCAATACCCGTCCCCCGTGGCACGTTAAACCATCTTGTTTTCACTTCGCTGGCAGATAGAACGTCACCCGGTGTGACCTGTTCTCTTATCGGTGGATCAAGGGCATCACACGGCTGATTACACACAATTATCTCCCGCCGCATCCTGCTAGTGTCATCCCCTGCTCCATAGCTGAGGGTCTGCATGGGGGTGCCCTAGTAACGATTAACGGTAAAATTCAGCAGGCCCAACAACGCTTAACGGTAAATTCAGGACGGTTGGTAACGCTTAACGGTAAATTGACATGCATTTTTTTCGAACTCCACCATATTTGGTAATCTGAATTGTAGAATTAAAAGGACCAAAAACGCTTCACGAGGAATATACCGATAACGCTTAACGTTGAATTACAGCGGGTCGGCAACGATTAACGGTGAATTAAAATAGCCCATAACGGTTAGGCCACACCAAGTAAATTGTATGGATGACGTCCGCGCGCGCATTGATTTTGGCCTGTTCCTAGAAAAAAAAAACAATTAGCTCCGTTTCCTGTAACTATGACCAAAGAGTCACGACAGTGCTCAGATTGACGTGAAACCCGTAACGCGAAAACAGGACAGGACTGCTGTTCCGCCTGATTTATTGCTGTTTTGATGATGAATAAAAGACTTCTTGCTTGTTACACTGTGTCACCTCATTCAATTTGTGTCCTAACATTTGTCGTCTCTTAGTATGTTTCTAATCTAGGCATCTTGGTTTTTTAGGGCCCTTCTTGTTTTTCTTTCGCCCTCTCTCATTAGATTTAGGGTCTCCAAAGGACGTCATCCATAAAATTTAGTTGGTGTGGCCTAATAGCAAAAAGGGCATGCAGGCCCTCATAGCTGTACATGTACGGGGTTTGACAGGCGGGGCTGACGGGGTAAGCTTCAGGATTAGCCGGGGCGCCGAACCAGGTGTTACCCCGAGCTGACAGAGATAAAAACATGTCATGTGAGCTGCTGTTTGTAGCACTTTGGTTTCTGTTGTTGCGTCATTTTTTTTGCAGCTTCGACAAGAATCTTTGTGCTTGCGTTAGCCATACAATATTGTTACTTGATAAAGAAGGTTAAGTTTTGCGTCAGTGTGTGTGTTTGTGTGTATGTATGTATGTATGTGTGTGTATGTGTGTGTGAATGTGTGTGTGTGTGTATGTGTGTGTGTGTGTGTGTGTGTATGTATGTATGTATGTATGTATGTGTGTGTGTGTGCCCTATTGTGTGTGTGTGTGTGTATGTATGTGATGTGTGTGTGTGTGTGTGTGTGTGTGTGTGTGTGTGTGTATGTGCCCTATTGTGTGTATGTGTGTGTGTGTGCGTGTGTGTGTTAGTGTGTGTGTGTGTGTGCATGTGTGTGTGTGTGCTTATGCGTGTGCGTGTGTGTTCGCAGCTGTAACTCACAATCCGTTTGCTGCATTGGTGTATATACTTTAACATGTTGGTGTGCAAAAGGGTATCAGCAAACACTTAAACTAGCACACAACACAAACACCAGGATTTCCTTAACGGATGCTATGTATCCTACGGAATCTTGTTGACGTTCACGAATCTTAGGTGGTAACTTGAGCACATCGTACGAAAGAAGGACTCACCATCGGAAATTTCAACGTAAGCTGTACCACGTAGTTGCTTTTTAATTTGTTGCATTTATTATTTTTTGCTCTAATATATTTATGCCTAACAAAATATACAAAGGAACGGCACATAGGCGAATGCAAAATTGCTCAAACAATTGTTATAGCTCTTACGTAAACGTCCAATTTTCTGTATACTTTCAAACTTTCAGCAAACTTTTAAATCACCACATGGTCTTTGTAAAATAAATCAAAATTTGCAATGAATTACCTATCACCGCACTTGGACTTATGAAAACTTAAAAAGTATAGAGGCATTCTGTACCTGTATCTGTATAGCCGGTATAACCGCCTTTCGGCGTAACACACCGGCATCGCGCAGGCACGCGGCGCGGCGGCAGCTGGCTATATTACACCGATCGACTTCTTACACCTAACCCTTGAACATCTAACTCTAGACATTGTTTAAAGCTATATAATGATAATGCCCTACTTTACTTAGTGACAGCGAGTTCCACTCTGCCTTAGTTCTAGGAAAGAATGAATTCTTGAAAACCTCAATCCTTGGTTGATAAGTCTGGTACTTGAAGGCATTAACCAAACATGGCAATACTTGTGGTTGGGGGGTGTTCCTTGGGGAAGATCCTGGCCCTTGAAGGGATGTAGAGGCGCGTGTTTAGCACATTTACAGCTGAGTCAGCAGGAAGCATCACTCCTTGTGCTTTGGATTGAGTTAATCTCTTCTGCCCACAAGGTCCCTCCCTGAGGTCCGCTTCTTACCACTAATGTTCCTGATCTTTTGACTTTCTCTTCAAGCAGAGGTTTGGGTTTTGGCTTATTTTGGCGTGGTTTTAGGCTTTCTAATCTGGGTTTCTTTCTTTTTTTTATGCACTGGAATCTTTTTTTGGTCACGTGTTGGGTTTGCGTGAAAAAAAATGTTTTTTCTCTGACAAAAGCCCTGTTCAGACGGAATCAGTGAAAGCGCTTGACATGTGGTTTTCCCCGAAGTCGGTTTCAAGTGGCTCCATCTGAACGCTCCAAATCGTAATGAAAGCGCCTCGATCCTAAACCACTTCGGGATGTAGTTTCGAACTAGTTTCCCCGCATCGTGATTTGCGTCTGAACGCAATGTGATTCCAATGTGACTTCGCCTGGTCATGGATTACGGTGGGGCCACGTCGGCATTCAGCCGAGATACGTTGGGAGGGGGGGGGGAGGCACCAGCCAGCAGGTCGTTGACCTCTGACAATTATAACACGCTACCTCGCGTGTTTTCATAAAAAAACAACTAATGTAGATTAGGAGAATCATGATCGGGCACGGTTTCAAACGAATGTGTGGCACGTGGACCAGATGTGAGGAATGTGCATGCCCGTAGCCAGGATTTTGAATGGGGGGGTTCTTCCCACTGCTTGAGGGGACCTCGAGTGCCGTAGCCGCGAGGTTCCTAAGGGGGTCCGGGTGCATGCTCCCCCGGAAAATTTTGAAAAATGAACGTTCTAAAATGGCATTTCGTGCATTTTTGAAAGGATTTCCAAGAAAAAATAAGAGGAAAAAATAAGAGATAAATTTTCATTCAATGACAAAGGGAGCAGTTTTTCAACGAATCCAGTTCATCTTTTCAAGAAAAATCTTGGACCTTTACATAAAAAGTGGACCAAAAAGTGGACCTTTGAGTCTTGTGGGGGGAACCCGAACCCCCGAACCCCCCTGGCTACGGGCATGATGTGAGTTACTCGAAAGACAGTGAAGCAGTGCCTGTGTGCCGGTATGTTATCGCACAGTGCGTCGGCGTTTTCCCCTGCTGACCCGCGGGGGTAAGTGTTCACGCGGCGCGCACGTGGGAGGGAGGACGTGCCCTTCGGCCCCGCAGAGACACGTGCTGAAAAACAAGTGGACTGAATACGTCAGCTCGGATGATCTTCACCTCCATTTGGCGCAAACATGTGGTCGGTTTGAGCTAGCCTCTACCAGGCACCGCGGATCGCTGGAAAAATAGTAGAAATTGGCCTAAATAAAGGGATTGTATACCAGAGAAGATCCAGGGCCATAGAAGCTCCAATTTCCGTGGGTCGCAAATTGGAGCTTCTATGGCCCTGGATCGTCTCTGGTATACTATCCCTTTATTGCGGCCAATTTCTACTATTTTTCCAGCGATCCGCGGTGCCTGGTAGAGGCTAGGTTTGATCACTGATGAGCGCGCATCACAGTAACAGTTTTACTGTCAAGGACTCTGCAAGGAGGTGCTAGTGTCACGGAAATAAAAGAAGTAACCTACAGTGGGTGTCACTGGAAAAATGTCCAGACTATGCATGATGTGCAAAATGACTAATAAACTGGTGGACGTCCCAAGTACCTAATACCAGCCCAGAAGAGAACAAGAAATAGCCATGCCTTCAAGTAACCAAGTTATCAACCAAGGATTGAGGTGTTCAAGAACTCATTCTTTCCTAAAACTATATATCGCAGAGTGAAACTCGCTGTCACCAAGTACAGTAGGGGCATTGTCATCGGATAGCTTTAAGCAGTTATATGTTCAAGGGTTACATTTAGGTGTAACAAGTCAATCGGTGTAATGTAGCCAGCTGCCGCCGCGCCGCGTGCCTGCGAAACTGGTGTGTTACGCCGAAAGGTGGTTATAACTGCTATACCGATACAGTTATAGAAGGAGGGACTACATGAAGGTTTCCAATGCAATTTCAGAGCCGCAAAACTGGAAATACTCTGAATAAGGCAATCTGTGTCATATTAACTCATACTGTCCCACATTAACACGTTTTAATCAGTATTTCATACTTAACCCTAAACAGTACACCTGGGGTCCGCGCGGACCCCAGCACTATATATTCTGTAATATCTTTTTTGTTTCTAAAGATTTTTTTCTGAAATTTTAGGTAATTGTCACCCACAAAGTTGTCTCTCAATACATTGCAGAAAACTCCGTTTCTACTATTTATAAAAAAAATTATATCTGATTTTCTTTTGGGGTCCGCGCGGACCCCAGCCGGCTTTCGATCATAATGGATACACTGGCGTTCTTATACATTACCTTATTTCCGTTTTTATATGTTTTTATGTACTCATCGTATGTCTACCAAGTTTTCAGAGATTGGTGTAGTAATAGAATTAAATTTTAATAACTTTGGTGTAATTATGACGTCATATGACGTCAGAGCTAATAAAACAGTCCGCCATATTGGATTTTGACCAATGACGTCATCAAATTACCATATTCTATGCATATTAAATGATTTAACTTATATTTAATTATGTAAGATGTTATTAATGTTGGAAAAGAAGTGTAATTTAATATAAAACTCAGAAAATTTTTATGTTTAAACCAAAATTACTTCTATTTTCAAAAAAACTGCCTGCTAGAAACCCGTTGCCATGGCAACACAAAAAAACATCAACTTACTAGTATTAAACTAATATCAACTTTTTTCCAGAGACATTTTAGGAAAGTTCTCCAAATTTGATACTTCTAGCGCAAGCCGTTTAGCCGCTATCTGAGATCAAAGTTGGGCCTCAAAAGCCCCTTCAGTCTGAAATGGGTTTAAAAATCGGGTATTTCCTCTTGTCTTCTTTTCTTCACCAAAAAATAGAAAAAGTTCAAAATGTATGATTATTGTATGTAATGTGGACACAGAGATTCCCACATCAGTTTGCAAAACAATTGAGCTGGTAGCATGTTGATAATTTCTAAAAATTAGCAAAAAAACTGTTCTGGGGTCCGCGCGGACCCCAGGTGTACAGATTAATCAGTCCGGGAAGGTGTACTGTTGAGGGTTAAGGCATAAAAATTAAACAAGCCCCAAGATAAGTCCTTTATTTTGAGTCCGGTGGTACCCTTAAAAATCAACCCAGGTCCTTCCAGTAACCGTTGTTTTTCATCAGACTTTGGGGCATTTTTGCTCCGACAGTGTCGTTTCAACTTACAACATGTAGTATGTAGTGATTAGAGTCGAAAAATCTAGTTTCCAATCCCTAAAATTGCACTGGATACCTTAAAGGGTTTGAGACGGGAGAGCTGAACAAAGCCTTGGTCACGCACAACCCGCCGTACGTGCTTTTTGTCCGTACGTTTTTTTGGGAGGCTACGTCTGCTACGTTTTTTTCTGAAAACGTGGGGAAGGAGTGGCATCGACGCACATCACTCGCACCGTTGCGCAAGGTGTAAGAGTGTGGTCTGCACGACACGTCTGGCCTTGAGCGGTTGCGTGCATCGTTCGTTGCACAAGTGGTAAGTGAGTTGTACGTGCTTACAACGTACGATTTCTGTGCGATTGCAACTTTAGCGTAAGGAGGCCGTACTCACACGTGCGTCTTTCGTACGGTACGTACGGGGCACGCGCGTCGCCCGTACTCGCACGCACGGGTAGTGAATCCATAGACCGCACGCAGAAAAAGTTTTACATGCACTTAAAGTTCTACGGCGTGTCTGCGTGCTCCCAAATCCGTAGGATTCCGTACGGAGGCGGTACTCACCACGCACGGATGCCCTGCATTTGCCCACGTTTTTGCACGCAGAAGCACGTACGGCGGGTTGTGACCGAAGCTTAAGGTTCGACAGTTCAGTTGTTAGCTGTACCCACCTGTTGGTGTGATAGCCACCATACGTGAGACAGCGCCCAGAGGCTGGACCAGGTTGCGGTGATGCCGTGAGCTCGCCAGTAGCTCCACCGTCACGTTCACGGCCGCCTCTCGGGCCTCCCCGAATAGCCGCACCGAGACGGGCTCCGACAGGCCCCGGCGGAGTACACGAGGAGCCATCACCATGTAGTTCCTATATATACGGGAGGAAGAGAAATAAGAGTTCTACGATCTCATACCTTCGACAGATGTTGTTAACATTGACTGAAGAATCATAATGTTTCTCATTTATTATGTAAAAAAAATCCTACATGAATGATGTTAAAATCAAGAATGATTCTACTACTGTATATAAATTATGCAAATCAGGACCTAATTTGCTCGATTGTTACCTAAGGAAACTCACGGCAATCCGTTTACTGGTTCTTGAGTTATCCTCTATCAATTTATTTTGCTCTTAAATGCTTCTGCAGTTCCAAAACAAGAGGGCCCAAACTCACGTCACTTCTTCCCGAGCACAAGAGGTATCTACCAGTCAAAATTTGGGACCCTAGGTAGCATGTCCAGATCACAAGATATCAACATCGGAAATGCCGGTGCAGTACCGTAAGAATCCGCCAAGGGGCAGAAAATGTAATGATTTGGAGGTCGTTTCAAAACCTACCAACCGACCACGTTTCACAGGCGTGACGGACATGTAGGCCGTGTTTAAGTGAAGTCACCCAAACCGCGATTCGGGTAACTCACATTCCTCACATCTGGTCCACGTGCCACACATTCCTTTGAAACCGTGTCCGATCACAATTCGCTTGAGCTACATTTATTGTTGTTTGATGAAAACACGCTTGGTAGCGTGTCATTATTGTCAGAGGTCAACGACCTGCTTGCTGATGCCCCCCTCCCACCGTATCTCGGCAGAATGCCGACGTGGTCCCGCCAGAGGCGGTGAAGCTCGTCCTAGAACGGACACATTATTTGACAATTACTTCTCTTTAAGTTGCTGCCACGTCAAATTTGGTATTGCATATAAATAAAGAAATATCGCCATGTAATCCATGACCTTTTTTGTCAGATGTCGTTAGTGATGGAATTGCTTATTGTGTTTACCGAAGGAAAACATATTGTTTTTACTCAGTTTCTTCCTCTACGTTTTCTCCAAACAGTGATCTATGACCTGACCAATGACATGATTTGTTGATGTCTGTCACCATGGTGACTGGTGTTGGGTTACATGATGTTGCAATTTCATGGTCTGCTCTGCTCCTGTCACCATATACTAGTAGTACATGTATGTGAATGTGTTTGAGTAAAAATTAACAGGGCAGACCATGTCCGAAGGTAAACATTATGCATTTGCTTTTCAGATGTTACATCTCTAGTTTGATTTCTTTCCGTCTGCTCTGCCAGACAATTACATGGCAGATGTCCCGGGGTGCCCGTAAAGCTAGTTGTTTTCTGGAGCATCAAAAGTCTAGTTTCCTTCCAGTGCAAAAACAATAAAAAAAAGCCTAAAAACACGCCCAAAATACCCCAAAACCCACTTTTGTAGTAGACTATAAACTTGCTACATTTCAAAAATTAGCAGAAAATTGACTTTTACTACCCTGAAATTACTCTGGGCTACTTTGACTCATGTGCAAATCTAGTGATACGCCAAAAAGAGCCGGGAACCTATCGGTCAGTGACTGAGTGCACCGGGAAGCTTTGTTTGGTCTTCCCCGAACTTGAAACTCGATCCAGGTGATAACTTCAGAAAATCAATTGGAGCGGATGATCCCCTCCTGTGATCACAGAGGCGAACTGTTTGACCTTCCCCTGCGTTTGAAGGTCACACAGAAAATGCCGGAAAAGCGTGGGAACGAGAAGATTAGAGCACCTGGCGCGCCTGGCATGCTGGGTAGGGACCTCCGAAGTCCCAGGAAGCTTCATAAAAGGAAAAGAAGAAC